CGCTCCTGTGAAAGACGTTACAGCCTATCCAGCCTCTCGTTACAACTCAACCCTCTATTCCCAGCAACTTCCTGGTAAATCTCATCTGAAGCCTCTCCAGCTAAATAATATCCTTCCTATTACAGGGCGATCAGAACTGGACACAGTATTCCAGAAAAGGCCTGCACAACCTCAACATGATGTCCCACTCCTATATTCAGAGGTCTGAGCAGTGAGGTAAGCCTAATAAACGCCTTCTTAACCACCCAGTCCACATGTGACGCAAAATTCAAAGAATTAAGTAACTGAAACCCGAAGTGTCTCTGTTCGACAACACTACCCAAAGCCCTACTTTAATTGTCTAAGTCCTGCCCCCACTTAGAATTAGATTCCTGAAAGCGTGGAAACGAGCCATTCAGCTCAACTAGTGCACACCAACCCTCAGAGCATCCCACCCAGACTCGGACCCCTACTCTATCCCTGTAAACCTGCATTTCCCATGGCCAATCCACCTAACCTGCACATCTGTGGACTGTGGGAGGAAACTGGAGCACCCAGAAGAAACCAATGCCGACACGGGGAAAACGCGCAAACTACACATATACTGCCGCCCGAGTTGGAATTGAACCCAGTCCCTGGCACTGAGGCACTGAGCCACTGTGCCAGCCATAAATGCAATACGTTGCATTTATCCAAATTAAACTCAATCTGCCACTCGTCAACCCATAAACCTAATTGATCAAGATCTCTTTGTAATCTTAGATGATCTTCTTCATTGTACACTTTCCCACCAATTTTGGTGTTACCTGCAAACTTACTAACCAAGTGTTCTATATTCTTGTCTAACTCATTTGTACAAGTGACAAACAAAAGTGGATCCAGCACTGATCCCTGTGGAACACCACTGGTCACAGGTCTCCAGTACCATTAACAACCATCCACCACCACACCCTGTCTCCTGTCATTAAGTGAATTAAGTATCCAATTGGCAAACTCGCCCTGAAACTTTATTCATTAGTATACCATGTGGAACCTTGTCAAGGGCTTTACTCAAGTTCAAGTAAACATCACTGCTCTGACCTCATC